TCTCCAGAGAACAGTAACAATTAATTGATCTGAAAAAAAATCTAAATTGTATAAATTTTGTACATCATCCAGAAGAAAACTGAAGACAAAATATCCTTTATAAATAGATTTAAATGACACCAGTAATAATGAGTACATTCTCCTTGTAACCATTTAAAAACTATAGATAAAGCAAAAGTTCTCCAACAGTAAGCCACCAGATCCCTGTACTCTTCTGAAAAGGAAACACAGTTAATAATGTGTTCTTCTAGAGCTTTTCTATGCATTTGAATATATATATGTAAGTATAGAATATGTAGGCTTGTTCTGTGTGTGCGTGTGTATCATATTGTAAACACTGTTGCATTGTTGTACAACTTTTTGCATGGCAACATATATCTATCTCATTGCTTTGTAAAACTGCATAACATTCCACAGAAAAAATATTACCCTTGTTTAACAGTTATCAAAACATAGTTAGGGAACCCCTTGGGGAACCCTTTGTAGGGTTCCAAGAGGTCAAATTATTTTCATAATAGAAGTAGGACATTATTTGCCTTTTATACCCTCACTCTCTCACAAACGTACAGTGGAGTTTTCCAGAGGCTACTTGGCAAGTGGTAACACCACTGCTCTGACAGCTAATGAAATGTGTATGTATACATTGTTTTACAAATTTTTCTAAAGAAGTAGATTTAGGGTATAAATATACGCTTGTTTGGAGATAACTCAATTTCTTCTCATGTTCTCACTGTGTTCTTCCTAGCTATCTTCAGTTATACCTGTTATAATTGTAATACTATTGTCTACTAAATTTTTATTTTAAAATTCTGAAATTTTTCTTACATCTATCTGAAAACACAAGAAGTAATACACTTTGTCTTGTTTTGTAATAACATTTAAAAATGTTTTTAAACCCTAATGAATTGTGTAATTTTAACCAAAATTGTTATTAGGCCATTCCTTTACAATATATTTATTCTTATAGTAAAGCATTTATCATTGGCATAAGATGGATTGATTAGATTTGCTTTCTCAACCCCCAGGTGCACCATCCCAGTGTAAAAATACTGAAAAAAAAAAATGAAATTAGGTCAGGTGGAGTTGCTTATACCTGTAATCCCAGCACTTTGGGAGGTCAAGGTGGGAGGATTGCTTGAGGCCAAGTGTTCAAGACCAGCCTGGGCAACACAGCAAGACCCCACCTCTATTTATTTTTTATATCAATTTAATTTTAAAATAAAATAAATAAATAATAAATTCTTTTAAAGATGAAATCGGCATATCAGAGGGTTCTCTGACTAGCTGAAGGGAGGGATATATGCCAAAGAAATTGTGAAAAACTAAATAAAAACCAAAAATATAATGAAATCTATATTTCCCTCATCTATATGTATAGTAATAGTTCAACTTATTATGTCTTATTCAACAGAATATTTTGAAGAGTATTTTAGCAATACTATTACTAAACTTAATTGTTTACTATAAATAGTTAGTTGCAGCATCATTTTGAGACCAATCATTCAGAGTTTAGAGAAAAACGAATTAAGCATTTTAAATGTAGATATGGTGAGCTCTTTAAAATCCAAAACTTGTTAGCTTTTCAAACTGGCCGTGAAAAAGCACAAAGGGTGGTAAAATTTTCAGTGCTTTTTTTAATTTCATGTTTTTTTCTAGAAGAACAGTTTTGATATTTTTTTTGATGACACAAAAGCAATGGTGGGTAAAACTGCTGGCATTTAGCACAAATCAAAGCAGTGGCACCAAACTGTCCCAGAAGTCATTCTGTTCCTTAATGCCACACACTTGCAATGAGGAGGAAAAGCCAACTTCACTTCAGGTTATTTTCTTAAATCTTGATTCATGAGAACATGTCTTTTCAACAATCTTTGTGAAGAACTGGGGAGTATACATTAAAGGTTTCTGTTGCATACTAAAGAACAATGATATCTCAAGAAACAGTACTTGTGCAATCATGTGAGATAGCTGAACTGTCTACATTTTTTGTGAAACATGATTTTTACTGGAAAGAATGACAAACTATGATTATTCAGGTCTGAGTATTTTGCAGGCACTTTCGTAGAAATGCAAAGAGACTCTCACTTCAAGAAAATTAGTTGACAATATTTGCTGCCATTGATAAAATTTGAACTTTCCAGCAAAAATTAGAATTGTAAAAAATTTGTATCTGCCATCATGAACTTGACAACTGCCTGATTCTTCCAATGAGTTGCAGTGGTTTATACCTGTGAAGCACCTAGCAGCATACCTGGAACATAGCAAGCAGTGATAGGATGGTAACGCTCTCTCTTTTTTTTTTTTTTTTTTCCTGAGACGGAGTTTTGCTCTGTTGCCCAGGCTGGAGTGCAATGGCACAATCTCGGCTCACTGCAACCTCCACTTCCCAGGTTTAAGCGATTCTCCTGTCTCAGCCTCCTGAGTAGCTGGGATTACAGGCATCTGCCACCACACCCAGCTAATTTTTTATTTTTAGTGGAGATGGGGTTTCACCATGTTGGCCAGGCTGGTCTCAAACTCCTGACCTCATGTGATCCACCCACCTAGGCCTCTCAAAGTTCTGGGATTACGGTCGTGAGCCACCGCAGCTGGCCCTTTCCCTTTTCCTTTCCCATATATTACATGCCTAGCCCCAAATACTTCTGGCCACCCCATGCCAGAGCTGGGAGAAGTCCAGGGTAAGTTATTGTATTATATTAGCTGGAGACACCCACACAAAGGCTGAGATAATATAGGTATAATAAAACCTTATACATTGACATCACTGAAGGCCTACTGGATAAAAAGTCAGTGAAAGAAATCCTGGGGACTGCCACTTTTCAATGACACAATCACTCATCAAATTATTTGTATCACCTGTATGTCCCACCATGGATCTCACACCCCCTGGGTGGTAAGGGATGGCCAGATGAGGCAGTCTGTTGCCCTACAAAAGATGAGAGAAGGGAATCTGGCACCATCACTCCCAAATTCCCAGGGACTCATTTTGAGGGCCTCCCATTTTAACTAAGGCTTTAACCTATTTCCCAACCTGTACCTGCCTCCCTTCCTGAACCCACATGACCTTCTCCCCTACAATGCCTTCCCACCCTTAGCCTCCCAGGTCTGAGTTGCCCACTTGGCAACCAGTGGGGCAGAGCAGTAGGTTCAAGATTGCCCTAGGGGCATCCAGGACTGGCTGGGCATTCCCATGCAGAGCAGGACAAATAGCCAGGGCCCCGGACAGAGCTTCCCCCAGATCCCCATCACCCTGCCCTGAGGAAAATGACCCAGAGAACACTCCCACACAGCCACCCACTTCCCACCATCCCCTGTCAGCAGGCAAAGAGCTCCAGGTTCTTCCTCTGGGACACTACACCTAACCAAGGGTCTATCAATTCCTATCCACCCCCAAGCCCTCACCAGGTGAGTACAGACTCCTGGAAACTAGGGGTTAATTCATGGAAAAATTGATGGTATGCCCTCCAAGGCTGCATGCCAAGGACCTTCAGGAAGCTTTTCCCCCATCCCCTTCTTTCTTGAGGATATATTCCGTCTGTTAATCCTAGCTATTGATTCAACAAACTGTTGCCAAGTCATAAGTTATTTTTCTAGGAATTGGTAATGTGTTCATTTCACAATATAAAACACTGAACATCCCCAGGACTCTCTTCCACCCCCTGTACTCCTTCCTGCCCTCCCTCTCCCTACACTCCCTCCTGGGTTCCAGTACCAGGGGTGTTGATTGTCAGCCTCCTCATAAACCTCACACACTACACAGAAACTAACTCAAAACAGAACACAGACTTAAAGGTGAAACATAAAACTATAAAACATTCAGAAGAAAAAATGCCTGTTAGTATGATAAATTGCATGGACTGGTTTTTGAATATTGAATGAGATTTGCATGGTTGGTCATGGTATATACTGCTTTTTAAAAATTGCTGAATTCTATTTGCTAATATTTTGTTAAGGGTTTTTGCATCTACATTTATGAGGGACATTGGACTGTAGTTTTCCTTTTTCTTCTTTTTTTGTACTATCTTCATTTGATTTTAATATCAGCATAAAACTAGCTTTATAAAACGAATTGGGAAATATTCCCTCCTCTTCCATTTCTGGAAGAGATCATGTGGAATTGGGCAGATCTCTCTAGTACATTCCAGAGGCGACAAGTCTTTCTTTCTTTCTTTGTTTGACAATGGTTAATGATTATCTTGTGGAGGTGAGTCACTTATCTAATATAAGGTTCAATTCTACCCTATTTGTTTTTGTTTGCATTTTGAGATGAGGTCTCGCTCTGTCACCCAGGCTAGAGTGCAATGGCATGATCATAGCTCAGTACAACCTCGAACTCCTGGGTTCAAGCAATTCTCCTGCCTCAGCCTCCCAAGTAGCTAGGACTATGGGCGTGCACCACCACAACTGGCTAATTTGTTAAGTTTTTGTAGAGACAGGGTCTTGCTATGTTACCCAAGCTAATCTCGAATTCCTGGCCTCATGCAGTTTCCTACCTCAGTCCCTGAAGGTGCTGGGATTACAGGCATGAGCCACCACACCTGGCCTACCCTATTTGGTTTTATATATCTATGATTCTAGTATAGCTTTACCATGTGCCAGAAATTATTTTAGCCACTTTGTAAATATTAAATATTTTATTCTTCATACAACCATTTGAGATAGGTACTAGGATTGTTCTGATTTTACAGATGAGGAAACTGAGACACAGAGAGAGAAAGTAACTGGCACATGGTCACATAGCTAGCAAACACAGAGTTGAGATTTAAGCCCAGGCATCTATTCCCTTAACCACGGTGCTCTTCTGTGTATGGGGACATTATTATTATTTTCATACTCTAGATAAGGAAACTGAAGCCCAGAGTGCTGAAGTGATTTGCCCAACGGAATGTAACCAAAGTGGAGTTCTTGATTCCCACCCACCTGTCTCTCCACATCTCCCCATCTCCGAAAGGTGTTCTAGCCAAAAATTTGAGAGTTGCCGTTGAGTTTTCTCTTCACCTTACCTTCTGCTTCTAATCCATCAGCCAATCTTGTTGATTTTGCCTCCAAAATATGCATCAAATTCTCTGCTTCTCTCCATCTCCGCCGTGCTCTCTCATCTGATCCCTTCATTCCACTCGTACACTCTCACAAGCTATTCTCCTTCCACCTGCAGACAGCATTAGCATTTTAAACGTCAGTCTCTGCTGCTTAAAACTCTGCAATGGTTTGCCATTGTACTAAGAATCAAATCCAAATTATTTCCCGGACTCACAAAGCCCCAATGGTGTCTGGCCCCAAGCTCCTCCCAGACTATCTCCTGCACCTTGCCCTCCACCTGCGTGCTCCAGCCTCCAGCCAGCCAGCTCAGGCCTGCCTTCACAGCCCCTGTATCTGCTGGCCCTTGAAAGCTCTTCCCACAAACACTTCATTGCTGCTAAATGTCAACCCTCATAGAGACATTCCCAGGTCACCTGGTACGAGACAGACCCTCAGTAGTGCTCTCTCCCACCTTTCCCTTTTATTTTCTTCATGGCATTTATCACCTGCCTAATATTTTTTGTATGTTTGTCTGTTTGGGTTATTTCCTCACCTACTAGAACGTAAGCTGTGCAAGCTTATACTAATAACTAACACTAATGTAGTCCTTATTTTGTGCCAGGCACTGTTCCAAGTACTTCATATGTGTAAACTCACTTAGTGTCCACCACTATCCTGAAAAGTTGCACTCTGAACATCTCTGTGTTTCTGAAGATAAAATTGAGCAACAGAGAGGCAAGGTAACTTATTTATGGCCACACAGCTTGTAAGTCGTGAAGCTGGGATGCAAGCCCAGGCAGTCTGGCTGTGGAGTCTGTTTTTTTGTTGTTGTTTTTGTTTTTGTTTTTGTTTTTGAGACGGAGTCTCACTCCTATCACCCAGGCTGGAGTGCAGTGGCGTGATCGTGGCTCACTGCAACCTCTGCCTGCCGGGTTCAAGCGATTCTCCTGCCTTGGCCTACTGAGTAGCTGGGATTATAGGCGTGCGCCACCATGCCCAGCTAATTTTTGTGCTTTTAGTAGAGACAGGTTTTCACCATGTTGGCCAGGCTGGTCTCGAATTCCTGACCTCAGGTGATCTGCCCACCTTGGCCTCCCAAAGTGCTGGGATTACAGGCATGAGTCCCCGTGCCTGGCCGAGTCTGTACTCTTAGCCCTCATCCTTTATGGTTCCTTCATGGGAGTGGGGTGCTTATTTGTACTATTCTCCACCAAGTTTCTAGCACCTGGAATAGTGCCTGACAGAGAGGAAGCACCAATAAATATTTGTAGAATAAGCAAATGAATGTTGCATAACTGGTTTAAAGATAAAGCCTGACTTTGAACCAGATTGGTCGGGCTCCAAAACCACATTCTCCAGAGTATGGGATTGTACTATTTCAATTTTCAACTCAGAAATTCACTGAAGCTTGCCGTCTACTCTAAAGATGTCTACAGTCCTGTGGGGAAGGCATATTTAAATAACTACAAGCCAGATAGAAAAACTGTGGTGCCACAAGTAAAGGGCACACAAAGTGCCACAAGGGAGTGATAATTTTAACTAGTAGCTCAAGGAAGGATTTGAGGTGAAAGTGGCATTTGCACTGGGTTTGGAAGACTCTGGACAGGCAGAGATGAGAAGGAGCATGTAACTGAAACTACAAGTTGTCTCCTAATGTCTGTTTCCTCTTCTTCCACAGTAATCATATTCCAAAATTTTAGCTACGCAGTTGACCACTGAGAATAAAGGCTACATTTCCCAGCCTCCCTTGCAGCCAGGCATGGCTACCTGACCACATTCTGCATAAAAGTTTATAGAGAAGTCAGGGATGAAACTTCCATGAGGTGTTCTCAAGTGGAAGGAGCATGCCCACGTCCTTTGTCTCCCTCCTGCTGTCTAGAATGTGACTCTGATGACTGGAACCAAAGCAGCTATCTTTGGCCTCAGAAGGCACATGTTGAGGATGTGGACTACAATGTTGAGGCAGTCTGATCATGAAGGCACGATATGAGGCCTGCTACAATCTTGTTTAAGCCACTGTTACAAGTGTCCTAGGTTGGGTTACCAGAGCAGATCCTGAGACAAGGCTTCATGTGCAAGTAGTTTATTAAACAGATGCTCCAAGCAGGGAGCAATGGCTCCCACCTATAATCCCAGAACTTTGGGAGATCAAGACAGGAGGAGTGCTTGAGGCCAGAAGTTTCAGACCAGCCTGAGCAACATAGTGAGACCCGTGTCTCCACAAAAAAAATTAAAAATTAGCTGGTCAGGTCATATGTGCCTGTAGTCCCAGCTACTCAGGAGGCTGAGGCAGGAAGATCCTTTGAGTGTAGAAGTTTGAGGTTATAGTGGGCTATGATTATGCCACTGCACTCCAGCCTTAGTGACAAAGTGAGACCTTATCTCAAAAATAAAAATTTAAAAAATGCTCCCAGGAGAAACCAGTAGGGGAGTGTGGAAAGTAAGACAGGGAAGGGAAGAGGATAAGCAAGGGAATGTTTCAGCAAAGCCCCAGCCTTAGCCTGGTCCCAAAGGTCAGCTCTGGAGTGTAAATTACACCTCAGAGTTTGCCCAGATTTCAGACAATGGAACTAGGCTTTTATCTAGTTCAGCTAAAGGCTGCCCCTGCTTCTCTCGATGTTCAGAAGCTGTGGGAGATGATTAAACGGGTCAAAGGGCTCTGGTGCAACCTCAATGGGCCCCTTACACTCGGTTTTCTGTCACTCATAACTGAACCTAATCCTAACAAGTACCAAAAACATTTCTGGCAGAGGAGAGAGTAAAAATAAAGTGCACAGAATCTGAAGGAACAAGAGGATATATGAAAGTATTGGAAAGGAAGAGAATAGGAAAGAAAGAAATAGGAAACAAATTTGGAAAACCAAACTGTAGTCACTGGGACTTGATATGGTCTGGCTGTGTCCCCACCCAAAGCTCATCTTGAATTGTACCTCCCCACATTTCCCTTCTGCACTACCTTAGCAGAGGCTCTCCATGAGGGCCCTGCCCCTACAGCAAACTTCTGCCTGGACATCAAGGCATTTCCATACACAGCAGTGGGGGCCTGGAAATGTGGGGTTGAAGCCCCCACACAGAGTCCCCACTGGGGCACTGCCTAGTGGAGTTATGAGAAAATGACCACCATCCTCCAGATCCTAGAATGGTAGATCCACCAACAGCTTGCACCATGCACCTGGAAAAGTCACAGACACTCAACACCAGCCCATAAAAGAAGTCGGGAGGGAGGTTGTACCTTGCAGAAGCACAGGAGTAGAATGATATGGTTTGGCTGTGTCCCCATACTGTTCTCATGGTAGTGAATAAGTCTCACAAGATCTGATGTTTTTATAAGGGGCTTCTCCTTTCGCGTGGCTCTCTCTCTTGCCTGCCACCATGTAAGAAGTCCCTTTGCTCTTCCTTGGTCTTCTGCCATGATTGTGAGGTCTCCCCAGCCATATGGAACTGTGAGTCCATTAAACCTCTTTTTCTTTATAAATTACCTAGTCTTGGGTACATTTTATCAGCAGTGTGAAAATGAACTAATACAGAACTATATAAAAGTTTTGAATTTCCAGCTAATGCATAGAAGAAAGGAAGTCAAAAGGACTTTGAATCTGATGGCTCAGAAGATTAATCTGGCAACTATGTGTGAGATGAATTGGAATGAAACTTGTGTGGGGTAATACCCATTACAAGGTCATATATATAATCTAGGCAAGAGGTAATGGTGGCACAACCCCAGGTGATGGTGCTGGGAAGGGAAAGTAGAGAAAAGTTGCGAAGTCTTACAGAGAAAGATCTGGTCTTTCTAAGTGCTTTGACATGAGAGAAAAGAGACAGAGGATCCAAACATGAAGCCAGGGACAATGGTGGCATTGCCAACAGAAATGGGTAACAGAGGAGAAGAAACAAGCTTGATAGAAAATATGAATTCTACCAATTGATATAGTGACTTTGAGATGAAGGGAAGCCTTCTAAATGGAGTTGTCAAGAAGGCAGTTAGAAATGCAAGACTGATAAAAGAAGTCAAGCACGGAGCCATGGATCTGTGCATTGTCTACAGAGATGTGATAGAAGCCATGGCTGTGCATAGGATTACTAAGGGAGGGAGGGCAGAGACAGAAGAGGAAAAGGCCAGTATAAGATACTTGCAAGTTGTGCTGTTTGTCTGTTGTCTCTTGGGCCCACGCCACGCTCCTCTGTGGTGTGAGGGCCCTCAGCCAACAGCCTTTGCCAGACTCTCTCTTGCCAGCTGGCTTCCGATTCAATTCTGCTACTAAGAAGCACTGAGACGTGGCTGGAAGGATATAGGGTGAGAGAAGGGTCTTCTTCCTGTTTCCAGCTCCTGTCAACGTCTCTCCGGGAGGGCTCTAGCCTAGGGCTTGGCAAATTTTTTCTGTAAAGAGCTGGATATTAAGTAGTTTAAGCTTTGCAGGCCATATGGTCTCTGTTATAACTCCTCAACTCTGCCATTGTAAGGCAAGGGCAGCCATAAACAATATATAAATGAATAAGGATGACTGCATTGCAATAAAACTTTATTCATGGACACTGTAATTTGAGTGTTTTACAATTTTCATGTGCCATGAGATATATCTTCCTTTTCGGTTTTATTTTCAGCCATTTTTAAAATGTGAAGAATATTCTTTTTGTTTGTTTGTTCACTTGTTTTTTGAGATGAACTCTTGCTCTGTCACCCAGTCTGGAGTGTCGTGGCGCAATCTCATCTCACTGCAACCTCCGCCTCCCGGATTCAAGCGACTCTCCTGCCTCAGCTTCCCAAGTAGCTGGGACTACAAGTGTGCACCACCACGCCTGGCTAATTTTGTATTTTTAGTAGAAACAGGGTTTTGCCACGTTTGCCAGACTGGTCTCGAATTCCTGACCTCAGATCATCCATCTGCCTTGGCCTCCCAAAGTGCTGGGATTATAGGCGTGAACCACCGTGCCTGGCCAAAATGTGAAGAACATTCTTAGCTCATGGGCCATGGAAAAACAGGTGGCAACTGGATTTGGCCTATGGGTAATAGGTTGCCCGTGCTAGCTCCTAATTGTTCACACTCCTGGCAGCAGGTGAACTACACTTCCTGGAAATACTGGCACCCCAGAGGCTCAACCCCATCACTGTGCATTCTCATTCTGTGGTCTGAG